GTTGCTTCAAGCTTCCAAGATGTTCTCATTTCCTTCCCCTTCCTCTAAGAACACCAAAACACACACTAATAGCTCAAGGATGCTCACAAAATGGATTAGGGTTTTTTAGGTACGAAAATGGGGATAGAGGCTGGTGGATGAAGAATGTCTTAAGAGTTAAGGGTGTTTAAATAGTTTTAAACCCTAAAAATTAGGGTTTGGCCATCCACCATGTACGCCCAATGTACCGAACGTACACCCAGCATACGACACTAGCCCACGCGTTTGATTTAAGTGCCACATGGGACCATTTTGCAAACAATTTTCATAATAAGGGTCAAAAGTGTAATTACGTGGAAACCGAGATGTTACACAAATCCATTATATTTTATTTTATTCTAAGTTATGCTACAAAAGTTTCAACGCTTTGTCACTTTTGGTCCTTCTTCAACTTCTTCAAAGTTTTAACACTTTACCATTTTTGGTCACTCCTTAACTTTTTACCACATTAGTTTGTGGAGTTGACACTTTTGGTCCCCCATCTTCGACCTAACCTGTCACACCTCCAAACCAGACGGCGGAAACGTCCGGGGGTGGAGGACTTTAATTGTAGTATCACAACACATGCATCATAGTAATCAAAGTACAAAAAACCATTGTATTTAAAAGGTATAAGTATTTACATGTGTTCAATCATTGTATATTGAACCAAAATATAGTTATACAAAAGAAGATATGACTCAACATAGCTCCATCTTCTCAAAAATCTCGGGGAGTACCTGCGTATTATTTCCCTGAGAATACAAGTAATTTGAAAAGAGAGTATCAACATAAAGTTGAGTGAGTGCATAAGTGTTTATGTTTAAAGGATGTCTCTGTATCTTGTATATGTAAATTGTTCCAGAAAATCCTATATTTTCTGTTGTATATGGAAAGTAGTTTTATTCCCATAAAACCGTTCTCTTTGTATCAATGTTTTGTATTTGTATTCCTTTATGAAAAACTTGTACTGAGAGTGTGCCTGGCTCCACCAGCTGTTATTGAAAACTGTATTGAACCATTGTAGTTTGTATTTTGTAAACTGGTACTTTGAAGGTGTACTTTCGTTTAGTTGTTTATACACTAACGTATTGTTAATATCTTTTTAATGAGTTATTATAACCATACTATGACGGATGGCCTGAAACAAACGCTTTGTGGGCGTTTAAACTATTGATAACAATTGCCACTCATCGGCGTGTATGCCTGACTGTAGCTAGCAGCCTGAGTGTGGGGTTGTCAATCCCGATATAGATCTACACACAACTTGTTTCGATCCCCGACTGGTGATTCTAGTTATAATGTCAGGGCTTTACCTTTGTTGTCTAAAATGAATTAAACAACCTGAATTGAATGTCTCATAAAAAGCATATAAACGTTACATGTATATTAGTTATGAAAACCCAATCATTCTGAAATAAATGATTGACAGTATGTTCTTGAATCAAAACCCAATCATTCTGAAATAAATGATTGACAGTATGTTCTTGAATTAGACCCCAATCATTCTGAAATAAATGATTGACAGTATCTTCTTGAATTAGTATTCCGAACATGTATTTGATAAGTGTAAACCCTTGATTTGTTCTGAATCAAAACCCTTGTTTCTTGTAAGACAGTGTATTCTAGTATACTTAAATCATGAATTATTGTTCTATGTATAAATTATACCTATTATAATTTATATGTACTTTCTGAATCTGTATTTAACTATGTTTGCATGTAATCCCTTGCTCAGCACGTTACAAAGGTAGTTAAACTGATGAAATAACTATTATATTTATATACATATACAATTTTATATATAAGTAAAATTTAAACGACACTCGGACAAATAACCGGTACTATAAGCCCACATCCAAACAAGGAAAAGGACCCAGAATGAGTTATCAGTCCTAAGTCTTTTAAATCTCATATATATATATATATATATATATATATATATATATATATATATATATATATATACAAATATAAATTTTGGGGGAAAATATAAGTTTATAAAAGAGTTTAATGTTTTGAGTATTTTTGATGATTTAATGTTGTTTTATTATGATTTGAAATCATGATTTTATAACACAAAGTTCTTGTGTTATGCTTGTATTCCCCCCCCCCCCCCCCCTTAAAACAGTAGAAATTATGAAAATACGGGGGTATGAACTCACTTGTTAGATGGTGATTTGGGCAGCGTTTCGTTTCACGAAAAGGAGTTTGTTTGACGAGAAACCGGCTCAAATTGGGCAGAGTTTCGACTGGAGAGAGGTTAACTTCTCGGGAATCTCGGGTCCGAAGGTGAGTGGACCGCGGACTTGGTCGAATCAGAAGGTGCCACGCGAACTTCGGTCCTATCAGCAGTCGACACGTGGAAGTCCGCATGCGATGATGACGTGTCTGAAGGTCATACATGCGAAATTTCCCGGTTTTCTATTTTTCTTGATTTTTGTGCCAAAAACTTGCGAAAATCATAACTTTCGCATACGAGCTCCGGTTTTGGCATTCTTTATATGCACGCGTAGGTAAAATCATACTCTACGACTTTCGTTTAGACTTAGTAGGCTAATTTTTAACAGACCGCGACGGGAATCCGTTAAAAATTCATAACTTCTTCATCCGACGTCCGTTTTTGTCTGTCTTTTTACCGTTGTACTACTATTGACGATACATTCAATTCTCGTTTAGGTTGTGTCGGCTAAAAATCACTCGATCTTTATTTCGAGTTTTTAGCTGTACACTGCTATACTGAAACTTAGAAAAATCGTAACTTCCTCATACGAAGTCAGATTTTGTCGTTCTTTTTATGAAAGTTCTTGGTTTAACATAAACTACAACTTTCATTTAGATTGTTAAGGCTAAAAAGCCTTTTATTGAAAATTCAGTTTTTACACTGAACAGTGTTTTGCCGGTTTTGTCGCGGATCTTCGATTGGTCATAACTTGTTCGTTATAACTCGGATTTTAGTGTTCTTTATGTTTTTGGAAACCTTGTTACAATCTCTATCACTTGGTTCATCCCAATCGAGATTGTTTAATAATTTATTTTTGAAGGTCAATTATGTAAATATACACAATATGCTAAAATTTCTCTTTATTATTTAAAAAAAAATACAAATTGACCTACATTATTATATAGGTTTGAAATAACGGTTTGTTACATCTCCTGATCTTATTTTCCTCAAATAACAACACATATATAAAGTTTTGCCACAAAAGTTTTAACACTTTGCCACTTTTGGTCCCTCCTTAACTTTTTATTATATTAGTTTGTGGAGTTGACACTTTTGGTCCCCCAACTTTGATATTTTCTATTGCTAGCCACAAAGGGTTCAAGAGTTTTCCACTTTTGGTCCCTGGCATTTACCAAATGTGGCACCTCAAGTTTTTGTCACATTAGTTTGTAGAGTTGCCGCTTTTGATTGTCCCATCTTCGATATTCGACTATACGGTCTTATTTTTCTCAAATAACAACACATATTTAATTACCAATGATAGCAATAGATATCAAATAAAGTATTTGTAGCACTGTGTAAAAACGTTGTTACTATAGGTAAAAATAAACATTTCAAAGTACGATTCCCTAATTAGAAAAAATGTTTTTGAAAAAAATACCGACCTGGGACGAAGCCCATATTTTTTTACTAGTTTGTATTAAATCGTGCAAAACCAAAAGAATTTTTATATGTTATTTTTATTAACATATAATTTCTTAATATTTTAACTATCTGGTTATCCACTGCCCAAATGGTTTAAAATAAAAGTGCATGTACGGCTTACTCACATGCGATATTGTACAAAGTTAAACCCGTGGACCACTTTTATCGTTTATGTCACACTAATGTCACAAATGCTTATTTTTTGGCATAATGCTACGTATTTAATAATGTTACTTTATTGATTTTATATAAACATTTACTTTCATATATTTAATAATATGTGATGTATATCAAATATTAAAGGATTAACACTGTTTTATGGAAAATAAATTATTTTTATTGTATTTAAATAGTCAACAAATCTAATTTATTAAAAAAAAAAGTAATGAACTTTTTTTTTTGAATTATATCTTTTTCAATTCATATTTTTATCTTAATTTTTAATATTTGTTACGAATTTGGCTTTTTTTTTTTTACAAAATTGCCCCAAAGTTCTTTTTTTACGAATTCACTTTTTTTATTTCATATTTTTTCTAAACATTTTTATGGCTTTTTGTAACTTTTTAGATTTTTTTGTAACTTTTTATAGCCATTTTAAACTTATGTTACAACTATTTTAAGTATTATTTTATATTTTTACAAATGTTTTTTTGAAACTTTTTATATATTTTTAACACGTTTTTACAGCCTTTTTAACCATGTAATTTGAATTTAAATTTATATTTGAACTATGTAAGTTTTTTAGTGCATAATATAAAATAAAAACGGATGTAATTCTAATGGTACGGGGTGATTCACATGCATATGTACAAAGTTTGAACCCACTGGACCACTTTTATCGTTTATGTCACATTATTGTCATAAATACTTATTTTTTGTCATAATATTATGTATTTAATAATCAATGTTAATTTATTCACTTGATTTTATATCAACATTTATTCTCATATACTTAATAAACTGTGATGTATAATCAAATATCAATAAATACATTCAAAATCTAATTCTCTTTTCCTTTTATTTATTTGAACTTTGTAAAATAAAAAAAAATCATATATAAATATTACATATATGAACATGACTTCCTCGTCTTCATATAAATTTATTCTCATCTAATTTCATTATATACTTTTAAGAAATAAGTGTTTTTGTATTAAAATAATTTAAAATTTCTTTCATTAAAAGAAAACTATTATGTATTAAGTTATTAAGTTATATATATAGCATTAATATCAAAATATGGTCAAGAAAATCAAACACAACAAGTCAACAACCATAAGATTCTCTTCATCATCTAATCCCTTGTGTATATATATAAAATAATAACATGAATGCCAACTTGTGCTTATTTCTATATATATAACCCAAATTCATAATGTGATTTCTATAGTTTATAAAAACACAACCAAACAAAAAAAAAGTGTAAAACTCCCCACCTATAATCTTCTAATTACATTTCTCCCATGCTCGCCTTACAGCTCCCACAGGTATTCGTTTAGGGTTTAGGGTTTAGGGCTTTCAGCCGAACCCTCTTTCTCTTTTACTTTCTCATTCTTTAAAAACTTCAACTTTTGTCCCATAAAATATCCAAAAATCAAGAATCCAAACACTTCACGAAGGATTTGATCGTCTCTTTATAAACGGTTTTTGGCAAACAAGCAATTTTTCATCACTATTGCTTTCAATTTCCACAACTCTTGCTTCCCATTTTAGCCTTGCGGTAACCATTCTTGCGGTTTCGATTAAAGAAGTTGTGTCCCGCAGTATCACCCAACCCTGAATAAATAAATGATGTTTAGAAAATATCTGAGAATCTGATAACCCTAACCCTAATTTGATTCGTACATCAATTTTTCATCACTACACTTTTAGTCCATGAGTTTTAACGCTTTTATCGATTCCTTTAGGGACTAGAACCGAAAAAATGCTAAATCGAGGGACCAAAAGTGTAAATTTACTTTGTAAAATTTATATTAACAAATACCTCCGGTCGGAGTATCCGGTCTATCTCAAAGAATATATCCATCATACTGCAACGATGATGCTTTTCACTTTCAAGCGATAAAAGACCTTCCGCATGAACCAAATCATAAGTTCTTGGATACGTTGGAAATGCTTCACACCTACATAAATAATTTGATTCAATTTTTGTCTGATTCAGTACAACTTGTTCTGTCATGTCATGTCATATCATATATATACTGTCCTGTTATCAGTATCAGTCTGACTATGACATAAAGTAGATTCAACTTTTATATGATTGATGTCAATTGTGGTCCAGTAGGTTAAACGCATAGGTTAAACGCAGTACAACCTGGTCTGCCATGTCATGTCATATGCTGAGTCAGATTGACTATGACATAAAGTAGGTTAAACGCAGTACAACCTGATCTGTCATGTCATATACTGTGTACTTAATGATGAGATGGGAGAAGTGAATGGAAGGGTACCAGTCATGTAACACGCCAAGGAAGCCGCGGTCGAGGATAAGGGGGAGATGGTTGGGGGCAGTGGTGGGGACCACATTCATGACCCATACGGATTTGCGTGCGTCGAGTAGTGCGGAATTAAAACCACCAAAATGCGCGTTCATGTCAAGTACGTTTCTCACCATGTTGTAAGGTGGGGACGGGTCTTCAATCCCGGGTCTTTTTGGATGGTCTGAAAATATAAGTGGAGATAGCAGAGACCAATAGTTTCTTATTGCTAAATTCCAATTCACATCGTCTTCATAAACATCATCCGAAAGTACACCTAATATTTTTTTTATAAAAAAATTAATGAAATAAGCCAACCACTATAATGCAAGAAATAACAATGTAAATACACAAATAAAGAGAAGAAATACCATGGATAGCGAGTTCCTTGGTGTTTAATCTTGCTCTAGAAGGCCAATTTGGTCTTTTCTCAATTGGGATCCAACGGTGGCTATGAGTTCCTCCAATGCATGCCTCGAGTTGATGATAATATGGAGATTCAACATCATGGCCCACTTTGCAGATCAATGGGCCCGATCCATGGTTCCTATTAAATAACAAGTCGTATATAATGAGATAAATAATGAGATAAAGATCACTTACTTTTTTCTTTTTGACTTAATACAGAAAGAACGATTTAACAAAGAGTATTTCCCAATTAAGTGTTTTGACTTTATATAAAGTTATATAGTAATAGTGAAGTAATGTTTATTACCTAGAAGCATAACAATCTTTATTACTCGGTTTCTTCCATACAACCGTTTTGTCTTGTTGTGATAACAAATCCCAACAAAGATCTTTAGCAAAATTACGCACAAAATCCCATTTTTTTAAATTATCTTTATTTCGGGTGGAAATTGGGGTGTTGGCAATTGGTGAAGTCCAAACAAAGTATCCTCCAGGCCTAAGAACTCGATCCACTTCAATCAAATGTAAACCATCTGTGCCAAAAAAAATTTTAAAAAAAGTAAACTTTTTTTTAATTATTGAAACACTAAATGATCATAAAATCATAATTTGAGTTGACCTAAATGATACCTTTATGATTCCAGTCAACCCCATCCCAAGCACTGTGTACCATGTCGTATGACAGGGACGGAAATGGTAATTTCTTTGAAGTAAAGGAAGCAACCAAAGCAGGAAGACCTCTTTCAAGAGTTATTTCCACTTGACTCCCTGAAGATTCATAATTTGCTATACACATGGTTAAAAGTTGCTTTGGAAATAGATGTGCCCCTAGGCTACCAAAACCACAACCTATATCCAATATTGTCCTCACCTGAAACAAAAAAATATTAAAAACAAAAAAAAGATACCCTTTATTTCAAGAAAAGATTTTTTCACTTACACCAGCATGAACAAGGTAAGATTCATTTCTTAAACCAATCATTTCTGCAATTTGATGAGAGTAATCTTCGATACTATCATCAACCATGGAAGATGCAAAACTAAATGAGATTTGATCTTCATCTAACAACATCATCCTACAATTAAACAACAAATAATAAGAAGCTGAATCAATAATCTTTAAAGTTTTTGATTTGTAAAGACTTTTTGAACTCACCTTTTGGTCAAACTTCCAGATGAAAGTACTTGTTGTGCATTTATTTTAACATTATCAATCCAAATAACATCTCTTCCAGTAGGCCATCTGTGAGGAATCTTGTAAGCAGGAGGGGCAAGAACTAAACAATTCTGTTTTGATGTGGGTCCACAATGGCGATCATTTTCATGACCCATGGTCAAACCCAAGTCAAGGTTTTCTGTGGTATTGAAACAGGGTATGTAGTTTTCTGATTCTAGAGGACAGAATTCAGATTCTTTAACCCCAGAAGTACCAAGTGAAAGCTCTCCAATGTCCCATAAGTCTGATACAAGCTGTTCTTGAAGCCTTCTATATCTATGGAAAGTGTGACCTCTAGAGGAATTTGTGAGAGATATTGTCCACCAAAAGGATCCAGTAAGGGCAAGAATTATGATAAAAAATAAACTCAACTTAAGCAAAAACAAAGTTAGTTTGTAGCGGTTTCTTGAAGTTACAGGGCTGTATGGATCAGGAACAATATAGCCATTTGTGGAAATAGATTGTTTGGATGATGAATTAATCGAATAAAAGAACTGAAATGGATTCCTTGAAGGGGATAAATGATTCTTATGTAAATCTTCATTCTCTGTTTTGACTTTCATTTGAGAATCTTCTAAGAAGTCCTGAATGTTCTCTGGTAATTTTCCCCCACCAGAAATACCTCTATGGAGTGGCCTAGACATTCTCCTGCATTCAAAACATACAAAATCCCTAAATTTCAAAAGAAACAAAAAGAAAAAGGTAATGGAAATAAAGAAAAGATGCACAGTGTAAGATCTGTTCATATAATCACTCCACTAGATCCATAAGAGCATATTAGCGTACCCATTAAACATAAGTACTTGAGTTTAAACAGAAGATAGTGACACCAAGTAAAATTCACTTTCATGAAGGTGATCACCAAAACCCCAAATTGAAAAAAAAAAGGAATCAGATTTGATGTTATATAACATCATACATAAGCGGCAAATCCATTAAAAGCATATAGAGAAAAAGAAGATGAACTAGTTGCGAATTGGATGACAAAAACTAAAAATAGAAAATATTACCTTGATTAGATGCAGAAAATTCAACAAAAATCCGGAAATTCAGCCAGTTATTGTGCAATCTTCCATCATTTCATGTTGCACACTCCCACTTATATATTTTTTTCTCCTATCACCGATTGTGCAGAACTTTGATTTGATTTAGAGAATAAGGTGGTATATGAGCGTGAGAATCGCCCCAATCACGAGAAACGTCGCTCGTGAATGCTACTCAGTACTCACTTGAACTAGATACGAGAGAGAGAGAGAGAGAGATGAGAGAGGGCATGTAGATATATATATAATATATACAGCTTATTTGTATGTATATGTAGATGCATACACATACACACTGAAACACGCAATGGAGAATGGCAGATTATCGATGTGTGAAAAGAGATGGATAAATATGCAATTAAACGCGGAAATAAAATTCTCTCTCACACACGTACACACAGACAAAACGCATTAATGGAGTGGTGCTTATCTAGCTGTAATTTTGGTAATTAATTATAAACAGTAGGTTAATGAATAAGATTCATCTCAGATTAACTACAATAGGTAATTAATTAACTATTGAAACTTAAATTCATAGTTTAATCGCAAAAGAGAGAGAGAAAGTCGATAGCGATTCCATTGAAGAGTGAAGACTTGCTTACATTACAGATATGTCATATGTCACAATCTCGTACTATTAAAAAAATTAAATAATAAATATGGGATCAGCTGCACAGTGTGCATAACCGAGTGTAGAATTAGATTTACCTCGAACCACCGTCCGCCATCGTCACTATGTCGACCTGCCGCCGGAATTACCGGCGAATGTGTACACAATATTATAGTCATATATGTAGGTGAAGAGAGAGAAAGTGAATGTGAGCTTCCGATTTCAAGCTTTACACCGGCATTGAAGGATGAATGCAACTATACAAGGAGGGTCTCCACCACATGAAATAAACCCTAGAAATTTCAGATTGAAAATTGATTTGGGGTAAAAAATTTAAATTGTACGTTCCTGATTCTGGTACCTGTGCTTCATGTACCAAATCTTGAGAATCCCTTTTTTCAGCTTTTTATTTTTACTGTTTCTAATATCTATTTATAGAATTTTATTATTTTTTTTTTTTGCATAAACAGTTATATTTTAAATATTTTATCTAAAAAATTATTTTCTTTTATTTTTATTCACATTTTAAGAAAAGTCATTGATAATTATCAATGTTTAAGAAAAAATATTGTCGACTTGTTGGTAGTTTATTAGCAATTCATCATTAAATATTGAATATTGTTTTTCAATAGTCTTTGAATCTATTTTCAATAAATCACTAAATTATGTATATATTTTCAAACATTTTAACTTAAAGAAAAATTATATATTTGGTCTTGTGGTTTGCAACAATGATCGCTGCATGTCCTCCTAAGAAATTTTGGATACAAGGGGTCCTTTTTACAATGAACAAGTCTTTTGGACAAACATCTTTAAAAACTAATGTTAAGTATATATAAATGACTAAAATACCCTTAATAAATATTTTATTGGTATTTATTTAATTTTGTCTTAATTTTTTTATATTTATTTTTATTTTTAATTTATTTAGTCTTATTTTTTCTTTTGTTAATAGTATTGGATTTATTCATTATTATTATTATTATTATATTGTTTTTTTTACATTTTTTCTTGCAATTTATTTTATTTATTTAGATTTTTTTTAAGTTTTGTTCGAATATAATGTTTAATATTTTTTTACATACATAACCCTCCCACGATCCGGCGATTTCGGTGATTCAAATTAGTGCAGTCGCCGACGGGATCAAACGCCGGTGAATCCTCGATTTCCTCTGCAACATGGGAGCAAATTCTTGGACAGCAGTCAGCTATCGCAATCGGAACGTCAATGTGCATGGCAATCGTACGGATCATCAAAGCAGTCAAGAACCAAAAACTAATTACGTAAGGTCAGATACATTCTCCCTCTTTATCACTAATTTTCTGGATTCAGTTCAAGCAGAAGACATTCAAAGGGTATGTGGTCGAGCATGTAGTCGCTTAGGTAAAATTGTTGGAGTGTTTATCGCTAAAAAACTATCAAAATTGGGGAAACGATTTGGCTTTATTCGATTTTCAGGCGATGGTAATTGTGACTCTCTGATAAAACAGCTCCGTGAAGTATGGTTTGGATCATATAAATTGTTTGCCTCCCTCCCTCGTTCCCTGGGAAATAACTATCGATCCCCCCAACCTGCTGGACTCTCCACAGCAGCCCATTGTTATGAGAATGTAAAATCCTATGCAAATGTCGTCCGAGGCCACCCTAATAATACGAGAAACAACACTAATACGGAGGAGATCATTGATCTTCCTTCTGGCGACTACATAGTTGAAAACAGACAAAGGGCTTGCCTTGTTAAGGCAAGAGATTTTCTCATACTTCCCAATCTCCGGGTGTTATGTTTGGACGAGGGATTCGATAACTTTGAGATGAAATATGTTGGAGGTCTGTGGGTGCTAATCGAATTCAACTCAAATAATGCATGTAAAAACTTTATGAATAGTGAAGCTATGGATCATTGGCTTTTAGAAAAGAGAGCTTGGGATCGAAATTTTATTCCCCCAGAACGTTTAGTATGGGTGGATGTTGAAGGAGTCCCTTTATCTAGTTGGAGTAAAGAGTCATTTAGAAAAGTCCTCTCTAAATGGGGAACAATAGTACAGTTAGATGATAACCTGGGAGAAGATATTTACAAGTAGAATCTGCATACTTACAACTATCCAATCCATCATTTCAGAAGTGATCAAAGTACGTGTTGTTGGGATTATACATTGGATTAGAGTCAAAGAAGCTCTGGGGTGGACCCCAACCTTTGTTCATGATTTTCCAGCTCAAGACTTGGCCGAGAGTGAAATACAAGAATCTGAACAAAATGAAGAAAGGAATGATGAGGTTTCATTGGATCCCTTTGGTATTTATGATGCTATTGAAAAAATGAAAAAAGATGAGGTCAATAATGATATTAATAAAGGATTTAATTGTTGGGGTAATGGCAAAAAATACAATAATAATAGAGAGAGACCTCAAGGGCAAAACGGGAATTCAGTAATGAAATTTTTTTCTCATGATGCTCCTGCTGATCGATGTGCTTCAAGCTCCCCTGCTGCTTCACAGATTCGTCCATCTGCTGCTCCCAGACCTGCTGTCGAACCCCCAGCCAGTGCACCAACTGATCCGGTCCCTGATGCTGTTCTGAATGTCGCTAATGTACAACCCGCAGCAGCTGAAGAACCTGTTGCAACAACTGACTCGCAATCAGCATTGCCTGCTCACACTGTTCCTGTTCATTCTGTTAATCCTGGACCTCTTCAAGTTGAAAAAGAAAACTCAAACAAACAAACTCCGGATGGTTTCTCAGGTGGCTTTATTCGTATGTCGGGCATCCCATCTACGGATGATTCTCTATCTCATCCACCTGGCTTTTCAAATATCAATCAAAGAGATAATGATCTTTTCTCAGAGGGTTCTTTCAACACTGACTCAATAGAGGTCGAATCACGAAAAACAATTGCTGTAGGAGGGAGCATTGGTTTAAATTTGAATAGCTGTTCTGAGCACGTGAAAAATACTATTCAAGAGGAGCGATTTAATAAAATTTAGATATGAATTGTCTATCTATTAATATCCAAGGAGCAGGTTCTTTTGAGAAACGGATGTGGATAAAATCTCTTTGTGTCAAATATAAGATAAATTTTCTAGCTATTCAAGAAACGAAGAAGGAACTAATAGACCTTTCTCTTGTTCGTTCGTTGTGAGGTAACCTCGCGTTCTCTCATGCTTTCTCTCCTTCTCATGGTGCTTCTGGAGGTATTCTAGTCGTCTGGGACCCAAATATTTTTATTTATAATAAAGTAACCATCTCGGATTGGTATGTGGCGGTGGAGGGGGTTTGGGCTGTCTCTAGCATGGATGTTATGCTAATTTCTGTCTATGCTCCCCAAAAAGATGATAGTAAAAGACAATTGTGGGATGAAATCTCTCTCTTAATTGCTTCTTTCTCTGGAGAATGTGTGCTTATGGGGGACTTTAACGAAGTCAGAACCGAGTCTGAAAGGTTCGGTTCCCAGTTTCAACATGTTCCTGCAAGATTTTTTAATCAATTTATTGATCAGGCCGATTTAGTTGATATTCATATGGGTGGGCCCAGGTATACGTGGAGCAATAAATGGGGATCCAAGTTTTCTAAACTGGATCGTTTTTTGGTCACTGAAGGTCTGTTGCAGCGCTTTCCTCATCTTATGGGATTGGTTCTGGAGAAAAATATCCCTGATCACCGGCCTATTGTCTTATTAGAGCACCGGGCTGACTATGGTCCTTCTCCCTTCCGTATATTCCATTCTTGGTTCGAGCTTGAGGGTTTTGATGATGTGGTTCATAATTCATGGAACTCCAATATTGTTGAAAATGGGATCAATAATCCTTGGGTTATTTTTAAGAAGAAGCTTCAACTTCTCAAATCTAATTTAAGATTATGGAATTCTACTGCTCGTGAACGTCTGATTACCAAAAGGAAACTTCTTCAAGACAAAGTTGAAAAGATTGATGCCTCTCTTATGCTTGATGGTGGTAGTGCTGTTCTTCGTGAACAAAGAGTTTCGGCTATTAAAGAACTGACAGACTTAGATCATCTTTCTAGAATTGACCTAGCTTAGAAAGCAAAAATTAAGTGGGCCATTGAAGGGGATGAGAATTCTAGTTTTTTTCATGGTACTATCAATCGGAAGAGACGTCAAACTGCTATAAGGGGTATTATGATCGATGGTGTTTGGGAGGATGACCCTGGGAAGGTTAAGAAGGAGTTCCAAAGTTACTATAAAAATCTTTTCTTGAAGAAAAAAGGAATACGCCCTACAACTGACCCTAGTCTGTTTCATACCCTCACGGATGATCAAGTTATCCTCCTTCATGCTCCTTTTTCTCGTGATGAGATTAAAAGGGTTGTTTGGGATTGTGGTTCTGATCGGGCTCCTGGCCCGGATGGTTTTTCTTTTGGTTTCTTGAAAAAATACTGGAATCTTATTTCTGATGATTTGGTGGCTTTCATTGATCATTTTCACAGCCATTGCTCGATCCCAAAAGGTTGTAACGCTTCTTTCTTTACGGTTATTCCTAAAGTTCGAGACCCTAAGCATATTAAAGACTTTAGACCTATTAGTCTAATAGGGTGCCAATATAAAATAATTGGTAAATTATTAGCTAATAGGTTGGCGGAGGTTATTGGTTCTATTATTAGTCTGGAGCAGTTTGCCTTCGTTAAAGGTAGACAAATCTTGGATGGTCCATTTCTTCTAAATGAGGTGGTGGCTTGGAGTAAGTCCTCGAATAATCCTCTTATGATTTTCAAAGTGGATTTGGAGAAGGCTTTTGATTCCGTTTCGTGGGAGTATCTTTTGGAGATTATGCAGATTATGGGCTTTGGCAATCTGTGGTGTGATTGGATCATGGAGCTTCTTAGATCTGCTAGGGCTTCGCTTCTTGTTAACGGGCCCCCTACTGATGAATTTCAAATTCAACGTGGCTTGCGACAAGGTGATCCATTGTCACCTTTTTTATTCATTCTGGTCATGGAAGGGCTTCATGTCACTCTTCGGAAAGCTCACAATGCAAATGTCTTTCGAGGTATTTCTATTAGTGGGATTGAAATCTCCCATTTGTTTTATGCCGATGATGCTGTTTTGCTATCGACTTGGGACCCAGCTAATGTCTCCCGAATCATTCGTATCCTGCGGTGCTTTTATCTAGCTTCGGGTCTAAAATTCAACCTGCAAAAAAGTAAATTGATTGGAGTGGGAGTTCCTTTGGCTCAGGTTGAGGTGGCGGCGCGTAAAGTTGGGTGTGCTCCTGATTCTTGTCCTTTTATTCATCTTGGAGTTCCTGTTGGCCACAACATGTCTCAGATCACTGCTTGGTCTTCAGTTGTTGATCGTTTTCAGTCGAAGCTCTCGGGTTTGGACAACAAATTGTCTTTCTTCTGGAGGACGCCTAACTTTGATCAAATTGGTTCTTGGAAGTCTTGGAAGCTACTTGATGTCTATCTTTATGGTCCCGATCTCCGTTGTCAACACCTTGGAGTCTCTTCGAGCTAGGTTTTTTTGGGGTGCTGACATGGGTGAGAGACGCATGCACTGGGTTCGCTGGGATAGGGTCTTAGCCCAAAAAAAGAATGGGGGTCTTGGTGTTGGTAGTTTGTATTCCTTTAATCGGGCTATGCTCTATAAATGGCGTTGGAGATTATTTCATAATCCGGATTTGATATGGGTTAAAGTTCTAAAGGCTATTTATGGTCGGGATGGTGGTTGTAGCTCTTTCTCTCATAGAAGAGGTTCAATCGGTCCTTGGAATGGTGTTATTCGGATGCTTGCGCAGCTTCATAATCATGATCTTGATCTTAGGCCTCTTAGTCCTATTAGAGTTGGTGATGGGAATAGAACTTCTTTTTGGCACGATGTATGGAAGGGGGATACCCAATTGGCTGCTTCTTTTCATATGATTTATGCTCTAGATCTTCATAAATCCATAACAGTCCGTGATAGGGTGCTTCTCGGTTGGAACTTAGATTGTCTCAGGCGTTCTCCAAGAGGGGGTATTGAGGAGACCCAATGGACTACTTTTACCTCCTTAATGCAGGGAGTTCTTCTTCAATCCACACCTGACCGTTTGGGATGGACTATTGATGTCTCAGATTCTTTTTCTGTTTCTTCTCTCCGTGCTTTTTTGGATAGTCATATGTTACATTCAGAGGGTCCTGAAACTCGTTGGAACAATTGGGTGCCTATCAAGCTGAATATATTTATTTGGAGATTAAAGTCTAGAAGCCTTCCGACTAGGGAAAATCTTTCGCTCCGTGGGATTACTATGGATTCCATTCTTTGTCCTATCTGCTCTAATACTGTTGAATCTAGTGATCATCTTTTTCTCCATTGCAATCAGTTGATTGACTTATGGACTCGGTTAGCTATTTGGTGGGATGTTCAGCTTCCTCAGTTATCCTCTATTGATTCTCTCCTCTCGTGGTCCGACTCTCTTTCCCTTAAAAGAGGGCAGCGACAAGCTTTTGACACTATTATCATCACTACCTTATGGTGTCTCTGGAATTTTCGTAACTCCACCATTTTTGGAACGGCTCATCCCAAGAAGTCTCTCATTTTAGATGATGTGATTGAAAGATCTTTCTTTTGGATTTCTAGTAGGTTTAGAAAAGTTAAAATTAGTTGGACCTCTTGGCTTCATAATCCCCTCTTAGCTTGTAATTTGTTGTGATGTATTCTTTCCTCTAGCTTCTTGCTAGTTTTTTTAATAAAATCTCTGTCGTTCCAAAAAAAAAAAATTTACATTTTGTTTGTTTACATTTTTTGATGTTTTGTTCGAATAAATTTTTTTAATTTTTTTGAGGTTTTGTTCGAATATATATATATTTTTTGACATTATATTCATTTATATTTTTGAAAGACTTTATGGTTAATGTAATCATAATTTGTAATATAATCCACCCACAAACTAACTTGCTTCCAAACCTCCACAACAATCGTGCATCTAAGAAATATTTGTTCTTTTTGTTCTTTAATATAGATTTTTTTTTTAAAAAAAATTATAAATTTTTTGTTAAATGTGAGTATGATTAATATAGACATGTATAAAACTATTTATTTTAATAGGATTAACGTATAGGTTAACCGGAATTTGAAATGAGTGTCAAATTATAGATAGCTTAATCGAAACTCGTATAAATAATTCTAAAAAAATGAACTCGAAAACATTGACACCCATTTTCTAGTTATACGGATGTTGGTTAGCCTATGTATAATTTGACACATATTTTGGATTCTGATTAACCTATATATTAATCCATTTAAAATAAATAATTGTGTACCTAATCTATATTAATCTTATTCAAATTTAACAAACCTTTTACACATTTTTTACAAAAAAAATTATAAAATGATTTACAAAAATAAGAATTGTATAACCTTATTTGTGTTATATAGTTAAATGTTTGAAGTAAAAAATGATAATTAATAATTATATTTGAATTGGATTGTTATTCATTGAAAAGTTTGTAGAGTGTAATTATAAACATTATAATCATGATTACAAGCTTATTGTGATTAACTTTGTTGGAATTTTTGAATTAGGGTTTGAAGAGCTAAAACCCTAATTTGGTGAGTTGTTGTAAAATTGAAAATTGAGCTTAGGGATTAATTAATCAAGTAATTTAGATAAGAAACATGTAAAGTATAATTAGTTGTGTTGATAAGTATTGTATTGGAAAGCTAGATGATCACATAAGTGATCATATGAGGATATGAAATAAAATCAAGTTCTTAAAGGAATGAGTTATTGGGAGTATGAAGTCTTGTCCAACATGGAGCACTTAGATCATAATGGAGCACTTGGGGTTCATGGAGCATGTGACAAAGGAACGGATCATCTGAGAAAGGAATGGATCATCTGACAAAGGAACAAATCAAGTGCCAAAGGAACAGATCATGTAGAAACGGGGTTTGGATTACCTGTAAGAGGTTTAGAGCACTTGGGAGTGATATGGAGCAACAAGGGAACCTTATTGTTCCATATGTTAAAGGGATGGGCCAAGAGGGATG